CAAAGATACAGAGCCAATTCAATTTTAAAGGTTCAGGGTCAAAGGTCAAGATCACACTTAATGAAAAACTATTTTTAAAATTTTTCTGTCTACAGCATATATTTTTCATCACAAACTTGGTTCATGACTAAAAATCTGGCCTGGCCCAAGGCCTTCGGCCACTGATCCTTTGTAGTTTCATTTACAATTTTCGCACCCCCAGATGGGAACCTCCCTACGCCCCTGAAGTAAGCTGCTTCTCCCTGTTCTTTAACATGTAGAATAGTAGACAAACTGATTTATGTAGAACACTGGGTCAACATTCGGCAAACTAAATTTCGGCAAACTGTGTTTCGGCAAAGTGGATACTGGCGCATTATAAATGTTCACTATTATTATGATTTTTGGGTTGGCAAACTGGAATTTGGCAAATTGGGGTTTGTTTAAACAAATGCCAATAATTCGTAATCAATTTTCCTAATATTAACGTAGCGTATACTTTACATTGTTATGTTATTATTGATTTTTATTAAATAAATGCTGTTGTTAGACTTGGTAATCTGGGGCTGGGAAAACTGGTCAGGTTTTGCTTTAACATTCATTAAATTACTGGCTATTAAAAAGTTGCTATTTAAGGAATTAAAATTTAACAACGATATTATGAACTAGTTTAATTTAATGGTCCACCCAAAATATAACTGCCTATACGTCAATACGGTGGCCATTTACATGCATATGTTAGTGCTTGTTTATTTGAACTAACTGTGCCTGCATATATGAGGTCAGCAGATACAGACAACCTAATTATTTCTGCCAGGAGATACAGTGTATATGTTTTCAGTTGTGTAACTTTGTGTGTGTGTCAGTGGCGTATCTAGAAGTCTTGAATTGGGGGGGGGGGGGGCCTGATAGGTAGGTACAGGTAATTAAGTTAAAAAAAAAATTAAATTTGATTGGATGTCCACAATACTTATATCACAAAATATACCAAGTGTTATAACATTAAAAACGTTTACAAAATTAAATTTGGTTTTATGGTTGATTTTTAATGATTTTAAAAAATATTTAATTATGCTGAAAATTTGGTTACAGGGCATTATATAAATTTTGTGACCTTTTTACTAATTTATGTCATTAACACGTTGACTGCCAGACCTATCTTTAAGGTTCCATCCCGGATGCTAAAACAAGTTTACATGCACAAACATACTTTTTTGAAATTTTTTCTAGTCACATATCATAAAAATGATGTGTCTAATAAATTAGGGGGAAAATGTTGGGGGGGGGGGGGTGAGTATACTCGTCGATGGCACTGTGATAGAACTTTTTACTGTGTTAAGTGCGAGTTACCCCCTGCCCCACTTTCACTAGGGACATCAAATTCCTCCCCCCCTCCTTGTGGCAAACTATGGCAGCCACAATGATGTATATCAAGTTTCAAGCAATATACAAAACTGAATTATTTACACTCATTGTGTATACTTTGAAAAAAAATAAAAAATTAATTAGGTACTGTTAATATTGCTTTGATCTAATAATTTGTACTAAATAAATGTACTAATAATAGACATTTTTTGACTAATTTATTATTACTACAGGGGTGTTATTATTTTAAATTGTTTAAAAACTATTACTCTAGGCCTATGCAACACCAGGATGTTTGTGCTCTATATTCCTGTCAACAACACATACAGTATCATCCAATCAAAGTTCAAATTCTATGTCACGTGATCTATACAGACAAATTACAGGCCAGAATTGCCTAATAAGACGCCATATGCAATTTCGTTATGGTAATTCTCAATTATACTCAGGTATATTAATCGCAAAATATCATTATAATAAATCAAAATCTTTAAAAATATTCTGTAATATAATACTAATCAATGATTATATTGAACATATTCATCAGTAATACAGACTTTATGTGTAAATTTAATAACTAATATGCCCTTTGAATCATCCTCCAATGTACACAATTACATACCAATTCTTTCGATCAGCATACATTTTTATGCATCGGACTCGAGAGTTGTAAGATTTGAGAAAATCAAAAAAAAATTGTTGGTACGCATCAAATCTAATTCATACTTGGCATACATATTAAATACATAATTCTTCAACTAACAGGATGGTTTTTATAATTAACAGTGCTTACAAAATATGGGTAAATGATGCTTTATTTTAAAGAAAAAACCTCCGTACACTGTAGCTTTGTGACCGATCAATAAAAAAATATTTTTTTAAAAAGCGCAAGTAAACTTTGACCTGTTTACTTTGTAAATAAATTCAAAGGTTAGCTAATGCAACCAGTAGGCGATTTAATCTGATTTTTTCTAATCTGGATGCAAGTTGTAGAACCAAAACAATCAGCATCAGCGTCGTGACAACGATAACAGTGCGTGACGTCACTCTTCTAAAATACCTATGATAGGGGCGCGAAGGTGATGTGGGGGCTCGATGATCAGTTGAAGGGCGCTAATTCGCAAAATATGGTGATATTTGGACCGTGATATCTTTTTTTTGGGGGGGGGGGTGGGTGCGAGTAATTTTTGGAAGGCATGCTCTTCCCGTGCCCTCCCCTAGATATGCCACTGGTGTGTATGTGTGTTACGTTTTGGTGTTTTTGTGTGCACGACATACAGTATCTCAAAAATGGCTGTACAGATATAACAGAAAATTACAGGGAATGTTAAGTATGTTTAACCCAATGAAGAAATGATTAAATTTTGGTGACGGTCCAGAGTAGGGTGTGGATGTGAGGGCCATTTAAAGGGATTTGAAAGCAAACATCCTAGACAACGCATCTCAAAAACTAATCAACTGATATGAATGAAACTTTAGCGAAAGCTTCACCAAGTTACAAGGAAAATTTATCTAGTGTTGGTCACGATCCAAAATTTGGGGGTGAACATGAGGGTCATTAAAGTTTTTAGGGTCATCCATGTTTCTTGTGTTCAAATATCTCAGCTGCAGAGATCTTAAATGGAAGTTGAAGGGATTGTCAGGTATGACCTAAGGATGAGGTGATTACATTTTGAATATTTATATTAATGCATTAACAGTAAATGTGTACAGCATTTTATATGTACTAACTTCACTTTTTTGGAACTTATAGGGAACATTTTTAATTCATCTTTACATTTAAACATATTATGCTAAAAACCAAATCCCTATATTTCTATTTCTAAAATATTTCCATTTTCAAAATATCTAAGCTGCAGAGATCTTAAATGGAAGTTGAAGGGATTGTCAGGTATGACCCAAGAATGAGGTGATTAAATTTTGAATATTTATATTCATATGATGAATATTAAAATTAGTGCATTAACAGTAAATGTGTACTGCATTTTATATGTACTACTTCACTTTTTTTGGAACTTACAGGGAAAATTTTTAATTCATCTTTACATTTAAACATGTTATGCTAAAAACCAAATCCCTATATTTCTATTTCCAAAATATTTCCATTTCAACACCAATACATTGCATGTATTTTGTTTTTCAGCTATAAGAGTAAAACTTGCCAGTTTTGGAAAGTACAAATTTTAGAGGAATTTTTAATAGAAAGATATTGGTGGTGGGTGGAGATATGCTCTCGTTCTTAATGTTTTCATACCTAACAGCAAAATACCAGGGAGCAGTGAAATATGAAATGCAAATACGAAATTATAAAAATTATGTTTTACCCAAATAACAGGTTTTTTGCTAATAAATATTTTCCTGGTAATTTTTTGAAAAAATCTTCTATTACAGCTACTTGAATAGAAATATATTTATTCTGAGTAATACAAGACCAAATTAAATTCTCCTCCACATATACAGAGGTATTGATTGAGTTTTCTTTATTTTGCCAAATTTTAATACCAAAAGTGGCTTTTTTTAATTAAGTAAAATTAAGTATATTTTTATCCACTTAAGTATAAGAATTTAAAAAATATATATTTGTTTGTGATTTATTAATGTCAATTTAGCTCATTTGCCAGGATTAAATGAATTAAAACATTTTATTGCTTTGAAAATAAGAAAATTGCAAAAAGTGTGTGTTCTGCCCTAAAAACAGGGTTTTTTGCTAATAAATATCATTTTTTCCTTGTAATTTTTGTAGAAAATGTTTTATTACAGCTAATAGAAATATATGTTTTCTGAGTAATATTGAGACCAAACTTAACTATCCTGCACAATAATTAACAAAGTCGCCCAGATTTTTTTCAAAATTTTACCAAAACCGGCTATTTTAAAGTTAATCCAATTAAATATTTATACATAACTTATTGGAGCTTTTATTTAAATATGTGTTATTTGTCATTTTTGTTACTTTAGCTATCATTTGTCAACACTGAATAGGTGGAAACATTCGATGGCTCTGAAAACAAGAAAATTATTTAAAAACAGATTTTTTGGTCAAAAATTGCCATTTTTGGTAATCACTTTTTCCTGTTATTTTTTGGGGAAAATGTTCTATTATAGCTAATAAAAAAACATGAACCTTTATTTATATTATCAAAATTATACAATTTACTACTCAATATTTTTAGAATGTGCTATATACTATATATAATCTTTATTTATAGTGCTATATACTATATATAATCTTTATTTATAGTGCTATATACTATATTTAATCTTTATTTCTATCTTATTATTTTATCAGAATATTTTTTTCTTACAAAATTATAATGGTTTATTTGGAATTTAATACTAATTAGAAAATCTCCTAATATAGTTTTGTTCATTATTTTGTCATATTAATCATATTAATGACATAAATGAAATAATTTTATTATTTTGATTTCTTCAATTGTATTACCTTGCTTATTTATATTAATTTCTAATTAAAAAACCTTATTTTATGAAAACTTTTAAAATTTATTCTAATTTATTTTAAAATAATGTAATTAGAGTTTTTGTGTTGTAATATTAAAATTATAATGTAAGTGTTGAACCAGGTCAAATGTTATCCCACAAAGCATTTTACAATGGACATGAAATTCATAAAAAGAGCAAGTTTTTTCACTTACCATTTAGCAGAATTAACGAGCATGAAACAAATTAAGGCAACGTTATAGCCATCGACTGAGCAGGATGAGTCCACTCGTTTGCTGAGATCTTCAAAAGTGCATATTGCAATGTTCAGCCTTCTACATAATTTTTACTGAAATAAAATATATACATTCATCAAATAACTAGAATTAGAAAGAATGCAACATTAATATTTAAATGTATATTAATTAGAATTTACAAACATTACATATAAATTGTAATTCTAGAATAATTGTGAATAGCCAATGAAAGATTATTTTTTTTAATTATCATTACTATTATCATTATCACTTAAATTTCAACATTAGGTCAAATAATGAAATTTTAATGTTAATAATTAATGTAATTATTTTAAGAACAAGAATTATTAAAATGCATTTTATATTAATATACATTTATACAAACATAACATCATTAACTTTTAATACAAAATTCTGAATAGTATTGCTTGCATGTTATCTTCTTACGTTATACATTTATCTACCGCGCAATTAAAATACTTTATGGTATGGCCAGCTCACACTAAAGACTTTTTCTTTCCCATATTCCTGACTGTAAAATAAGGCTTGCATGGGGGAACAAATTGAGCCTGGAAATCCGAACACACATTTTGGAAAATAAGGGTTGTCAATTCTGCGCAGTTTTTGTTGAAAATCAGGTATTGGCCTATATAAGGCAATACTTTTTTAATACCTTGTTTAATGTACCTAATTTAATCACCTCATCATTGGGTCAAAAACTCTATTAAACTATATCATTTTGAATTATGCAAACATTTATATTATCAAAATTATACAATTTACTACTCAATATTTTTAGAATGTGTGTTTTATTATATAATATATATATTTAATCTTTATTTCTATCTTATTATTTTATCAGAATATTTTTTTCTTACAAAATTATAATTGGTCATTTAGAATTTAATACTAATTAGAAAATCTCCTAATATAGTTTTGTTCATTATTTTGTCATATTAATGACATAAATGAAATAATTTTATTATTTTGATTTCTTCAATTGTATTACCTTGCTTATTTATATTAATTTTCAATTAAAAAAACCTTATTTTATGAAAACTTTAAAAATTTATTTTAATTTATTTTAAAAATAATTTAATTAGGGCTTTTGTGTTGTAATATTAAAATTATAATGTAAGTGTTGAACCAGGTCAAATGTTATCCCACAAAGCATTTTACAATGGACATGAAATTCGTAAAAAGAACAAATTTTTTCACTCACCATTTAGCAGAATTAACAAGCATGAAACAAATTAAGGCAACGTTATAGCCATCGACTGAGAAGGATGAGTCCACTCGTTTGCTGAGATCTTCAAAAGTGCATATTGCAATGTTTAGCCTTCTACATAATTTTTACTGAAATAAAATATATACATTCATCAAATAACTAGAATTAGAAAAAATGCAACATTAATATTGAAATGAATATTTATTAGAATTTACAAACATTACATATAAATTGTAATTCTAGAATAATTGTGAATAGCCAATGAAAGATTATTTTTTTAAAATTATCATTACTATTATCATTATCACTTAAATTTCAACATTAGGTCAAATAATGAAATTTTAATGTTAATAATTAATGTAATTATTTTAAGAACAAGAATTATTAAAATGCATTTTATATTAATATACATTTATACAAACATAATATCATTAACTTTTAATACAAAATTCTGAATAGTATTGCTTGCATGTTATCTTCTTACGTTATACATTTATCTACCGCGCAATTAAAATACTTTATGGTATGGCCAGCTCACACTAAAGACTTTTTCTTTCCCATATTCCTGACTGTAAAATAAGGCTTGCATGGGGGAACAAATTGAGCCTGGAAATCCGAACACACATTTTGGAAAATAAGGGTTGTCAATTCTGCGCAGTTTTTGTTGAAAATCAGGTATTGGCCTATATAAGGCAATACTTTTTTAATACCTTGTTTAATGTACCTAATTTAATCACCTCATCATTGGGTCAAAAACTCTATTAAACTATATCATTTTGAATTAAGCAAACATTTATATTATCAAAATTATACAATTTACTACAATATTTTTAGAATGTGTGTTTTATTATATAATATATATATTTAATCTTTATTTCTATCTTATTATTTTATCAGAATATTTTTTTCTTACAAAATTATAATGGTCATTTAGAATTTAATACTTATTAGAAAATCTCCTAATATAGTTTTGTTCATTATTTTGTCATATTAATCATATTAATGACATAAATTAAATAATTTTATTATTTTGATTTCTTCAATTGTATTACCTTGCTTATTTATATTAATTTCCAATTAAAAAACCTTATTTTATGAAAACTTTAAAAATTTATTTTAATTTATTTTAAAATAATGTAATTAGGGTTTTTGTGTTGTAATATTAAAATTATAATGTAAGTGTTGAACCAGGTCAAATGTTATCCCACAAAGCATTTTACAATGGACATGAAATTCGTAAAAAGAACAAGTTTTTTCACTCACCATTTAGCAGAATTAACGAGCATAAAACAAATTAAAGCAACGTATTGCCATCGATTGAGCAGGA